TGAGTTTTTTCATTCTTATCTCGCCCTTTCTCCCCAGTTCTCTGTCCACCTCTCACTGGAGTGTCGTTTCTGTGCTAGGGCCTGCGGGGCTCGCATCGTGAGTCGCACGGACGAGCTGCGGGAGGAGGACGTGGGAACTGGAGCCAGGCTCTTTGAAGTTAAAAAAATAGGAGATGAGTATTTTGCCTTCATCACCGACTGCAAAGACCCCAAGGCTTGCACCATTGTTCTGCGTGGAGCCAGCAAGGAGATCCTGGCAGTAAGTTGTGGTGCATTCAGCTTCCCCCTCCTGTCCTGGCCACCTCCTTGGTGTCACTAACTCATCGCTTCCCTCTGAGCAATGGGGGGCAAATGAAGCCAACGTGAGTTTCCTCTGGGTTCTGGAGCCACAAAGAATTTCTCTTGTGGGCTGTGCCAAAGGCAAAATTTTGATTTAAAAATGAGTGAGAAATGTCTCAGGACAGAAATACTTCATCACAGGTGAAGCTTCTGACACACATTTCAGTATTTTTTGATCAAAACCAAAGAAAGCTCCGTTGCTGTTGACACTGCCCAGTGGGGTGGGTTTTTTTTGGCCAGTGACGGGAGGGGGAAAAGTGCTATAAATGAGGAAATGATCATTTTGTCCTACTGCCACTCAGGCTTCTTTGAAGAAGTGAGAAAATGTGTTGAAAATGTAACAGTGAAAATATTACTCGTGACACAGTACAGATGGGGTGTCTGCTGTCACGGGGAGGAAAAAAAATGCTTGTGCTGCTCTGCTGGAGGAAGGATTTGGATGGGAAGTTACTCAGATCCCTCTGCGTTAGTAAAGAGGGTTTTTGTGCTAAAAATGCAGGTTTCTTAATTGCTTAAAGGCCTGATCTCTGGGGGATCAGTAAAATCAGAGGGATTTTAACGGGTCCTGTAGAGGCTATGAAGATGCTGGGAGGGCTGGAGCCCCTCTGCTGGGAGGACAGGCTGAGAGAGTTGGAGAAGAGAAGGCTCCAGGGAGACCTTGGAGCCCCTTCCAGTCCCTCAAGGGGCTCCAGGAAAGCTGGGGGGGGGACTCTGGATCAGGGAGGGGAGCGATGGGATGAGGGGGAAGGGTCTGAAGCTCAAAAAGGAGAGATTTAGGTTAGATATTGGGAAGAACTTGTTTATTTTGAGGGTGGTGAGAGCCTGGCCCAGGTTGGCCAGAGAAGCTGTGGCTGCCCCATCCCTGGAGGGGTTCAAGGGCAGGTTGGAGGGGGCTTGGAGCAACCTGGGCTGGTGGGAGGTGTCCCTGCCCAGGGCAGGGGGGGAATGTTTAATTTTTAAGGTCTCTTCCCACCCAAACCAGTCTGTGATTCTGTGATTTCTGGAGTTTTGTGTTTGTTGAGAGTTGGACTCGGATGTTCTTTATGTGTCCCTTGAGATGTTCTATGACTCTGTGCTGCAGAAGACCCGTGGGCAGAGCGTGGGCCGTGCTCTCTGCTGGCCGGGCGCTGTGGTTCCTGCCACCAACAATCCCCTGCTTTTCTGCTGTTGCAGGAGGTGGAGCGCAACCTCCAGGACGCCATGCAGGTGTGTCGCAATGTCCTCATGGACCCGCAGCTGGTGCCAGGCGGGGGGGCCACCGAAATGGCCGTGGCCCACGCGCTGACGGAGAAGTCCAAAGGCATGACGGGGGTGGAGCAGTGGCCGTACCGCGCGGTGGCCCAGGCCCTGGAGGTCATTCCCCGAACGCTGATCCAGAACTGCGGCGCCAGCACCATCCGTGTGCTCACCTCGCTCAGGGTAAGGAGAGGTCCTGGGCCCTGGAGAGGGTCACCCCTTCCTGCCGTGTCCTGCTGGGGTGGGTTGAGGTGCCCACAGCAATTGAGTGTCCTTTAGACAATTATTCTCTCACCCCGTGAGCCCTCCCCACTCGGGAAGGGGAATTGGGAAAAAGAAGGAAATCAGAGGGTTGAAATACAAACAGATTTAGTAGAATAAGACCAGATAATTAACATTAATAACACAAAAGAACCAATATTGATCCCGATACCAATATAAAACACACCAGGACTGTCCCCAGCCCATTCCCAGCAGAAGCCGCGCTCTCCCCACAGGGACAGCCCATGTGGGACCCTGCGAGCGCTGCGGCTTCGGGAGGGAGGGAAGGGCTCAGGGCTCCGGCACCGGGGCAAGGAGTTCTCAGAGAGAGAGATCCTCGGGAAACTTTCTAATTCCTGTTGATTGTGCTGTTCGTGATATGAAATAACCCTGTTGGCAGCTTGGGTCAAGTGCCCGGGTCTCGCTCCTCCTCTTCCCCACACCTGGGGAGCTCGAAAACACCGAGACCTTGAGACTTGCCCACCAGAGCTGTGATAAAGTAAATATTTTCCCAAATTCAGACACTGGAGTCTTCTAAAAGTGCAGTTTTCCCCAGCGTTAGAGGAGAAATCAGTCCTGTGTCACTCACAGCAGGACTCCTCAGATCTCATCCTTCTGTAGCAGCGCTGCTGCTCAGGCTGTTGAGGGCTCTTTAGCAGTTGCAGCAGGTTTTTATGTTAAAGGAAACGTGTGTTGAAGTAACGGGTTCCTTGAAGGTGTTTGAAAACGGGTTGTTGGTGGGTTTTTCTGCATTGGCTGAGCTGCAAACGTTTTTACTGATGTTTTGTGCCAAATTTGAAAGCATGAAAACGGATTTTTCATGGTGGTCTGGTGGGAGGTGTTCCTGCTCAGGGCAGGGTGTGGGACTGGATGGTCTGTAAGTCCCTTCCAGCCCAAACCCTTCTGCGATTCTCCAAATTCAGTTGTTTGTTTGAGGGACCGGAGTTTAAAAACAAAACCCTGAGGGTGAACAAAATCCAGATCTTCCTTCGAGTTCGGGTTGGGTGGCACCAGAGAGAGTATCTCCCAGCGTCAGATGTAATCAAGTGTTTCCAGTGTTGCTCAGTCACATGTTCTTGTATAAACTCCAAAATTGAGACAATTCTAACAACCTTTTTCCTGTTTCCTGGCCCCAGGCTGAGTTTGGGTTCCCAGGGGGTGCATTTGCTGGGTTTTTTCCTCCCTCCTGCTGACCTGTTTCTCTGCTTCCAGGCAAAACACACCCAGGAGGGCAGCCAGACGTGGGGGGTGAACGGCGAGAGCGGAGCCTTGGTGGATATGAAGGAGCTGGGGATCTGGGAGCCTTTGGCAGTCAAACTGCAGACCTACAAAACGGCGGTGGAGGTGAGGGGGGGACACACATGGGGTGCAGAACCCCCCCCGGGGTCTCTCTGGGGAGAGGGGATGTCACTGGTCACACTGGGGTGTTTGTGGTGCGTGTGTGTGTGGCGATGAGGGAGGTGGGACCCCTGTCTCAGGCCTTCGGGGGGTCTGGTTTTGATCCCGTGGGTAAAATCTGTCGCGTTCCATCACACCTCCCTCTCTGTGGTGTCACTCGGCCCTCGAGGACGGGCTGGTCTGGAGCTGTCACCGAGAAATGTCCCAGTGACCGGCCAGGATGCCATGAGTGAGACCTCACCTGGAGTATTGTGTGCAGGTCTGGAGCCCTCAATATAAGAAGGACATGGACCTGATGGAGAGGGTCCAGAGGAGGGCCACAAGGATGATCAGGGGGATGGAGCACCTCTGCTACGAGGACAGGCTGAGGGAGCTGGGGTTGTTCAGCCTGGAGAAGAGGAGGCTCCGGGGAGACCTAATAGCAGCCTTCCAGTACCTGAGGGGGGGCTACAGGAAGGCTGGGGAGAACCTGTTTAGAAAGGCCTGCAGTGACAGGACGAGGAGAAACAGCTTCAAGCTGGAGGGGAACAGATTTAGACTGGAGATGAGGAGAGGGTTCTTCACTGTGAGGGTGGTGGAGCACTGGGACAGGTTGCCCAGGGAGGTGGTTGAGGCCCCATCCCTGGAGATACTCAAGGAGAGGCTCGACAAGGCCCTGGGCAACCTGGTCTAGTTGGGGGTGTCCCTGCTGACTGCGGGGGGGTTGGACTAGATGGCCTTTGGAGGTCCCTTCTGGCCTGGGCAATTCTATGATTCTATGAGTGTCCCCAGGAGCTCCTGCCCTTGGGGCTCCTCGGGGTGGCCGTGCCCCAGCCACCTCCCCCCAGCTTAAAGCTCCCATTTTGAGCATTGGCCACTGGTTTTGGATCCAAAGTGGCCGCTTGGAGGGAGTCTGTGTCCTTTCCTGAAATAATCCATGTCCCCTTCTCCACGGGGCATCCCTGCCGGTGCAGAGCCACCGACCGCTCCCAGGATGGGCACCACGTCTTTTCCACTCCCCTGTGCTACAAGAATCGTTTAATTATTATTTAATTGTATTATTTAATTGGGGCAGGTGGTTCTTTGGTGTGAAAAAGGGGTAGATTGTGTTTTATCCTTTTGCTGTGAGCTCCTGACTCAGCCCGGCCGTGCATTTTCTCCCCCAGACCGCCGTTCTCCTGCTCCGCATCGATGACATCGTTTCGGGGCACAAAAAGAAGGGTGAGGAGCAGAACAAGCAGCCGCCGGCGCCGGAGCCGGCCCAGGAGTGAGAGAGGGGCCGCGGAGCCGCTGGGAGGAACTGGGCACCGGGACTGGGAGGAGTGGGACGGAGCCCCCCCCAGGCCTGAGGCTGCACGGGGAGGGGGGGGAAGGAGTTTGTCTGAAAAAAGCCCCCCACGAAGGCGGGGAGAGAGGGGGGGTTGTGCCTCTGGGGGGAGATGCTGATGTTTAATTTAAGTCTCGGGGCTGTAACTTCCCCTTCCCTGTTCTGCCTCCACAATAAACTGCCTCATTTCAGTCTCTGTGTGTTTCATTGGGGGGGCCGGGCGAGGTCGATGCTGCGGGGAGCGACCCCCCCCGCAGCCGTGCTCGCCGTCGTTTTAACCCCCCAAAAAAAATTTCCGAAGGGCGGCGGCTCCTTTAAGAGTTTCCCGCGCGGCGCCTTTAAGGGGGGGGGGCGGGGGGGGCAGTCTCAGCGGCCACGTGAGCGGGTGGGCTCCCAACATGGCGGCGACCAGCGCCTTCCTCCTCCTCCTCCTCCCGCTGCTGGCGGCGGGCGGGCGGAGCGGGGGGCGGCAGGTGAGCGGGGGGCACCGGGGGAAGCCGCGGAGGGGCCGGGGCCCGCCCGGCCCCGGTGGAGCCGCTACCGGCGGGAAAAGGCCCTGGGTCCCGGGGGAGAGGGGCTTCCTCGGGTCTCCGCGACAAGCCCCCGGGGCTCGGAGGGGGAACCTGTCGCTGCGGGTCACCCGCCTCCGGGGACACGGTCCCGCTGCCGCGCGTCCCGGTGCTGCCGTCCCTCCTCTCCCGGGCCGGGGCGAGGGGGAAGCGGCTCCTGCGCCGCGGGGAAGCTGTTGCGAAAGAGCCGGGACGCAGCGCGGGGGGGGCTCCGGCACCGGGGCGGCTCCTGTCCCCTCGTCCCACCGGTTTCCTCAACTGGGACCAGTTCTGGGTCCCCCAGTTCCAGAAGGACAGGGAACTGCTGGAGAGGGGACAGCGGGGGCTGCGAGGATGATGAGGGGCCTGGAGCATCTCTGTGCTGAGGAAAGGCTGAGGGACCTGGGGCTGTTCAGCTGGAGAAGAGCAGACTGAGAGGGGATCCCATCGATGCTGAGCAAGAGCTAAAGGGTGGGGGGGGCAAGAGGATGGGGCCAGGCTCTTCTCAGTGGTGCCCGGGGACAGGACAAGGGACAACGGGGACAAACTGGGACACGGGAAATGGCAGAGCCCTGGAAGAGGCTGCCCAGAGAGGGTGTGGGGTCTCCATCTCTGGAGACATCCCAAACCCACCTGGACACGTTCCTGTGGGACCTGCTCTGGGTGGCCCTGCTCTGGCAGGGGGTTGGACTGCGTGATCTAGAGAGGTCCCTTCCAATCCCATGTGATTCTCTGATTCTATATGAAGTTCCACCTCAACACGAGGAGGAACTTCTGTACTTTAAAGGTGGCAGAGCCCTGGAAGAGGCTGCCCAGAGAGGGTGTGGGGTCTCCTTCTCCGGAGAGATTCCAAACCCGCCTGGATTTGATCCTGTGAGACCTGCTGTGGGTGACCCTGCTTGGGCAGGGGGTGGGACTGGGTGCTCTCCAGAGGTCCCTTCCAGTCCCCACCAGTCTGGGATTCTGTGTAATTTGGAATTGTCCTGCGCTGGGAAGGACCGAACCCCCCCAAGACCCCCCCTTCCCCCGCAGGTGTCGATGCAGTACAACCCCGGCTGGAATGACTCCTCCGTCAACCTGCTTCACGTGCGGGCGGCGGGACCCGCCGACACCCTGCACTACGTCTGGAGCAGCATCGGGGCCCCCGCGGTGCTGCTGGTGGCCACGGGCAGCGGGAGCAGCGTCCTGCGCGTCAACTGGACCCGGCTGCTCTCCCCGGCTCCTGCCGGCGCCATCTGGATCGACCCCCCCAGCAGCGTCGTCTACTCGGCTGCCGTCGTCTTCACCAAGGTACCTCCGGGGACGGTGGCCCCGCTCCAGGAGAACTGCCCTGTGGCAGGGAGTGGGGGGTGTGTGTGTCCTGGTCTGAGGAACCCACAGCAATTGAGTGTCCTTTAGACAGTTATTCTCTCACCCTGTGGGCCCTCCCCACCCGGGAAGGGGAATCGGGAAAAACAAGGAAATCAGAGGGTTGAAATACAAACAGATTTAGTAGAATAAGACCAGATAATTAACATTAATAACACAAAAGAACCAGTATTGATCCCGATACCAGTATAAAACACACCAGGACTGTCCCCAGCCCATTCCCAGCAGAAGCCGCGCTCTCCCCACAGGGACAGCCCATGTGGGACCCTGCGAGCGCTGCGGCTTCGGGAGGGAGGGAAGGGCTCAGGGCTCCGGCACCGGGGCAAGGAGTTCTCAGAGAGAGAGAGCTCCTCGGGAAACTTTCTAATTCCTATTGATTGTGCCGTTCGTGGAATGAAATAACCCTGTTGGCGGCTTGGGTCAAGTGCCCGGGTCTCGCTCCTCCTCATCCCCACACCTGGGGAGCTCGAAAACACCGAGACCTTGAGACTTGCCCACCGGAGCTGTGATAAAGTAAATATTTTCCCAAATTCAGATGCTGGAGTCTTCTAAAAGTGCAGTTTTCCCCAGCATTAGAGGAGAAATCAGTCCTGTGTCGCTCAAACCAGTACCAGGGGATGCAGAGGGTTGCTCAGGGCAGAAATGGCCCCTCGAGTGTCCTCCCCTGGTTGTCTCTGGCTCTGACGGTGTTTTTTTGGTCTTTTGACAGCTCTTTTCTGGTCTCCACCGCTCCCTGGGGGTGGTGACATCCCGCAGGACTGCGGCACAACGCGGTGGTGTTCCCAGCTCCCGCTAATGGCTCCCGGCCCCTCTCCCTCCCCTCCCTTCTCCCCAGGTGTTCGAGTACAGCGAGGCCAAGGCGCTGGAGGAGCAATTCTACCCCACCTACGACCTGTCGGGCTTTTCCTGGGACAGCGTCAACCACACCCTGAACCACACGGCCCTGACGGCCGAGTTCTCCGGGGTCCCGGCCACCGACCCCGGCGGCAGCTTCTCCAACGGCAGCGTGGGGTTCCGGGTAAGTCCGGGGGGGTATTTACTGCCCCGGGGCACTGTGGGGAGAACTGTGTGAGGCCTCACCTCGAGTGCTGTGTCCAGTTTTGGGCCCCCTACCATAAAAAAGACATTGAGGTGCTGGAGCGGGTCCAGAGAAGGGCAACAAAGCTGGTGAGGGGTCTGGAGAATAAGTCTTATAAGGAGAGGCTGAGGGAACTGGGGTTGTTCAGCCTGGAGAAGAGGAGGCTGAGGGGAGACCTTATTGCTCTCTCCAACTCCCTGAAAGGAGGGTGTAGAGAGATGGGGGTCGGTCTCTTTTCTCAAGTCACAGGCGACAGGACAAGAGGAAATGGCCTCAAGTTGCCCCAGGGGAGGTTCAGGCTGGATATTAGGAAAAATTTTTTCACTGAAAGGGTTATCAAACATTGGGATGGGCTGCCCAGGGAGGTGGTTGAGGCCCCATCCCTGGAGGTGTTCAAAAGACGGGTTGATGTAGTGCTGGGAGGTATGGTTTAGTGATGGTGATGCTCCTTGTTTATTGTGTGGGTGTCTATTTTTGTCAGTTAGGTTGACGGTTGGACAAGATGATCTTTAAGGTCCCTTCCAACCTAGAAGATTCTGTGATTCTGTAACACAGCAAATGTCACCTCCAAAGCACCTTCTGGAGAGAGAACGTTGCTCCTCGGTGTCCCAGCCGGTGATCGTGCTGTCCCTCTGGTCTGTGTCCCCTGCAGGTGACAGCCTACGAGGCCGGTGGCCGTGACAAGCCCCTGCCCAGCCTCCTGCACACGGCGAACAGCTCGAAAGTGGAGTTTGTCCTGGCGGGGGTGGCTCCGCGGGGCAACGGCTCCCGCTTCGCGCTGGAGGTGGCCACGGTGGAGGAGACGGGGGTGGTGCAGGAGCTGCGCTCTGCGCGCTCCATCGACGACGAGTACACTCCCACCATCTTCGAGGTGAGCGCGGGGCGAGCGCTGGGCTTGGGGACATCCCCTGCTGCAGGAACGAGGGGGACGGGGATCCAGGGCCAGCAGCCCCGGCAACCTGTGGCTCCCCGCTGTGGCATGAAGAGCTTCTCCTTCCCTCACCCCACCACCCGCCACTCTCCCTCCACCAGATGCTCTCCCTGGTAGCCCAGTCCCAAAACGACAGCTCCACGCGCAGCTTCCTGCAGTGGAAGGCGACGGCCTACGGCTCCCGCAGCCCCCGGCGCGAAGACAACATCCAGTGCCGGTCTGGTGCCCTCCAGGTGGCCAACTGGACCCTGCCCGCGTCCAGCATCCTCCGTGCCTACTTCGGGGAGGGTGTGGGCAGCTCCTACAGCGTCAGCGCCATCAACATCTCCTTCGGGGGAGAGGACGGGGAGGTTTACCAGGAGAAGCGCTACCTCAGCTGGTGAGCAGGGGCCGTCGCGTGTGAAACGATGCTCTCATGGAGGTTTGGGGAACCGGTTAGAGGGTCTCACAAATCCAGGGTGGGCAGAGAATGGACTGAGAGCAGCTCTGAGGAGAAGGACTTGGGGGTGTTGGTGGATGAGAAGCTTAACAGGAGCTGGCAACGTGCAGCCCAGCAAGCCCCCCGCCCCCTGAGCTGCATCCCCAGCAGGGTGGGGGGGGGGGGGTTCGGCCCCTCTGCTCCGGGGGGAGAAGGCTCCGGGGAGACCTTCGAGCTCCTTCCAGTCCCTCAAGGGGCTCCAGGAAAGCTGGATCAGGGAGGGGAGCGATGGGACGAGGGGAAAGGGTTTGACGCTGAAAGAGGGGAGATGGAGCTGAGATGTGGGGCAGAAGTTCTTTGGTGTGAGGGTGGTGAGAGCCTGGCCCAGGTTGCCCCGAGAAGCTGTGGCTGCCCCATCCCTGGAGGGGTTCAAGGGCAGGTTGGAGGGGGCTTGGAGCAACCTGGTCTGGTGGGAGGTGGCCCTGCCCAGGGCAGGGGGGGACTGGGTGGTCTTTAAGGTCCCTTCCAACCCAAACCATTCTATGACTCTATGATCCTCTGTTTAATAACTTACCTCCTTTCAAAAGTTTGGGTTTTCCTATGATTCTGTAGAATTTTTGCAGTTTATTGTCTCATTCCCTCCCCGAGCCTGGGAGACCCTCTCCTGCCCCATGGGGGATCCCAGTAAGAAATCTCCATCTGACCCTATGGGGGTTGAAAGCCCCAGATGTTCCACCCCCAGGACGGGGCTGATCCCCATCTCCATTGGCTGATTTGTCTCCTCCCCTCCTGCAGGTCAGCGCTGCTGGGCTTCGGGCAGCCCCCCAGGGACACCTTCTCCCCCCTGGTCATCTCCATCATGGCTGTGGCCCTGGGCACCCCCATGGCCATGCTGCTGGTGGGCGGCTGCGTGCTCCTCTTTGCCCAGAGGAAACGCTACTCCGAGTACGAGCCCATCAACTGAGAGGGACAGTCCCTGGAGAGACCCAACCCCAGGACCCTTCTTGTCACCGGGAAAGGATGGTGGCTGCTGCAGGGGCTCCTGCAGTGTCCTCTCTGTCCCCCCTCCCTGCAGCCCAGGCCTGGGGGGGACCACAGCAACATCTGCAGCAGTTGCCCCCCGTCGCGTGTCCCTCTTTCCTGCTCCCTCCTCCTGCCCAGGATCCTGCATCTGAGGACACTTCTTCCTCTCTTTCTTCCTGATCCATCCAGCCCAGGGAGGTGACTGGGGGGAGCTGCTCAGGGGGGCCTCGAGCCGCAGGAAGATCCTCCTTCTCCCAAGGGATAAAACCACTGTTGTCACGTCCACAGCCGAGCAGCAGCTGGGACTGGCCATGCCCTGGACTGTGCCACCTCCAGGGTTGCTTTGGTGGCTCCAAGCCAGGAGCAGGGCTGGAGGACAGGGCTGGGGACCTTGCAGGGTGCCTTGCTGCTTCTCACTGTGCCGGGGGTGTCCCAGAACACCCCCCTCAATCTCTCACGGACTCCTCACTCCCCAAGAGGCACTTTCTGCTGCGCTGGCCTCAGCGGGGGCTGCTGGTACAAGAGGGAAACTTGGTGCCGCTGTGCGGCGGCTGCTGGAGCTCAGGTACGTCCCGGCAGCCCGGGGCTCGCGGTGAAGTGCAGCCGTGGGCTCGGCAGGGCCGGCTCTGAGGTGCTCTCCTGGTGCTTGAAGCCACGGGGCAAGCGTGGTCTGTGGCTGTGGGGCGTTTGCATCACTTGGGGGTGTGCTGGGTTTTGGTGTTCTCCGTCACCGACTTGTCTTTGACCAAATAAAGTGAATTTCTAAGAGCAGCTCCCTGGGGAAGTGCTACACTACGGGCGAGCACGAGGAATTTCTCAAGAGCCGAGGGATAAAAGCACTGCTGAGAGGAGGGAGTCTCCCTGCCCCTGGACTGACTCATGCCTCGCAGCAGCTGGTGGTGCTCTGGGGTGGTTTTCTCTGAGCTGTGGGGCCAGCGTGAACCCAGGCTGTGTCCCTGCTGAGAAGGGCATTTGAAAGAGTCGGATTGTTCCCGTTCTCCAACTGTTCCCGTTCTCCGACTGGGCTGCGGTGGGTGAGCCCCTCCCAGCATTCAGGGATGGGAGATGGGACAGGCCAAACACTGGGCAGATGTAGGGCTGGATGGGCTTTCCCTTTATTTGGTGGGTTTTTCACTGGTTTGGGTTACGAGGAGAAGGAGAGAACTGAGACCATCAGACATGCATGGGGCTGGACTCCCAGGGTCCCAAAACATCTGCTCTGAGGGGTGCCCCGGGGGGTGCAGGTGGGTGCCCGTCCTGTGGATTGGCTGCCCCCAGCCCCAGGCAGGGACAACCCTGGTGCCATCTCGCCCATCCCGGCTTCTCCCGCATCCTTCCCTGGGGCAGGGCTCCCTCCCTTCTACCTGGCCAACTGGTTTGTGAACTGGGAGGAAGAGGAGGGACGGGACGGGCAGGACCTGCCCTGCAGGAACCCAGGAGCAGAATGTGGGGCTGGGTGCTGTTGCAGCTCTGGGAGATGGACAGTTTGGGGGAAACATCTTTTTTTTCCCCCTCTTGGAAACATCATTTAGGGACTGGATGATGGCATCGCGTGGGCGAAGCTCCAAGTCCTGCCAGCAGCAATTCCATGGGGAATTTAACCCACCCTCCCCAAACCAGCCACAGAGCCGCTTGGTGAAGGGCTTTATTGGGCAAAGCCAGCTCCAGCACGAGGTCAGCAATTCCCATCCCAACATGGAACAGGGCTCAATGGGTCTTGTTCTGGGCCCTGCTTGCCCTCCTGCAGGAAATTCCCAGTGCAGAGGGGTTTACAGCTTCATTCTATCAACCCTGGGTGCCCAGCAAAACCTTGGGGGTCCAGCGAAACCTCGGGGGCTCAGCAAAACCTTGGGGGTCCAGCAAAACCTTGGGGGCTCAGCAAAACCTCGGGGGTCCAGCAAAACCCTGCTGGGTCAGGGCAGGGATCTGCCAGGACCCCTCCACCTCCAGCGCTCCCACGGCAGGGCAGTGAGGAAGGCTCCAGCCCGGGCACCCCGTCTCCCCGGGGCCTCCCTCACCCCCAGTACCGCAGTTTGGCTCCTCTGGCCTTGGAGCCATCCTCGGGCTTTGGCGCTGCCACGGCGAGGAGGTTTTCGGGTTCCAGGACGAACATGCTGTACAGGTTCCAGAGCAGCATGGCCAGGAGGGGCAGGAAGGTCATGCTGAAGCCGAAGGCGCGGAAGGAGCGGCCGATGGCGTAGGACAGCCAGTAAATCAACCTGGAGAGGGCAGAGAGGGGTGGGTCAGCGAGGGCGATGCCTTGGGGACAGCACCGAGCTTCGCCCAGGGGTTCTAACCCCAGTGAGGGTTTGCCCGGCATGGCAACCCTTCCCCTGCCTCCTTTCCTGGCTGTCGTTGGCCGGGTGAGGCACTGCCAGAGCAGGGGTTTCCACCAAAGGGTGGTGTTTGCCAGCACTGGCAGAGCCCGTTCGCACCCTGGGCACTGCCACAGCCCCGGTGGCTACTTACCGGGAGATGGCAAAGAGCCCCGTGAGCAGGGGGATGAGCTTGAGGGCCTCCTGTGGGAGGTAGGTGGCCAGCACAGCCATGTTGAAGAAGTAGAGGATGAAGAGGTGGACGGACTGGGAGACATAGGTGCGGTGGAGCTCCACCTCCCGCTGCAGCTCCCCGAAGGGCTCCAGCGCCGAGAAGCAGAGGCGGGAGATGCCGCTGACGATCATCCCTGGGGGGGCAGAGAGAGGGGCTGAGCAGTTGCCCAGTGAACCCACATCGGGGTCTGAAGGGCTGGGGGGGGGGACCAGGGAGGGATGCAACGGGGTGGGAAGAGGGCAGGAAAAATCCCGGTGGGAGCAACAGAGCCGCAAAGAGCCCAGCCCTGGCTCTGCTCCCCACTCCCCCCCCAAGTCCCCGCTGCCCCGGGGCTAACACAGCCCCACCGGTGGGGTGAAGGGCTTTGTACCCCAACCCCGTGGCTCACCCAGAACGATGGGGAAGGTGGCGAAGGCAGCGCAGCGCAGCGTGTAGACCAGGCGGGCGCTGATGGTGGGCAGCAGCGGGGCATCGAAAGGCAGGAAGACGTAGGCGCCGTAGATGAAGCAGGGGCAGAGGAGCAGGGCCCCCACCACGGAGGCCACGGCCTTGAGGTTGCCGGTGCCGCAGTCTCTGGCACACGGGCACCGCGACCCCTCGGCCAGCGGCTTGGCCACTCGCCCCTCAAAGCCCAGCGGGTCCCTGTAGCGTGAGGGGACGGTGTGAAGGAACATTGGCTTCTGGCAGAGGCCATCAGGGCTGTCGCTGTGGGGGACGCGGCCCCCCTTGCCCTCCTGCGGCCACGGGGCCGGTTGCTTCTTCTGCTTGTCGGGTCTCTGCTCAATGCACTGTGGGTTGATGGGCACAAAGACGTGGGCTGCCGTCACGGGGATCCCAGGGGCTTCGTCATCTTCAGCCTCAGCCGGGGGGCAGGGGAGAGCAGCCTCCTTTGTGTCTTCCCTGCCCCCTTCGGGGCTTGAGCGCCTCTTTGTCTCTGTGGGCTCTGGCTGGCTCGGGGCGCTGTGCTGGCACCGGTCCCATGGCAGGGTGGCATCAGGGTCTGCTGGGGGTTCATCTGGGGCTGGTGGCACCTTGTCTGGGGCCACCTTCCCCAGCTCCAGCAAAGCCACCTCCTCAGGGGGCAGGATGGGGTCAGCGGCAGCCATGAGAGCTCAGAGCTGCTGGGCACGCAGCGGGCACCAGTGAGAAACAGTCCTGTGTTTTGGGGTGTTGAGAGGGGACCGGGTTCCTGTCCCTTCTGCTTCACCCTGTGCCAGGAAAAGAGACACACAAAAAAACAGCAGAAATGAGAGGTTTGGGGTCATGCACACTGTTCCAGTTAAACCACGGGGTGCAAACTGGCAGCCGCCAGCCCTGGAGTTCCCATTGCCCGCCTGCCCTTCCTCTAGAGCACAGCCCCGTGTCCCCACGCTCTCCCGCCATGGCAGTGGGATCAGGGCATGTGGCACCACACACATGGGCTCCATTGCCCCGAGCTGGGTGCCCAGTGAGCCCCGGGGGTGCAGGTCTGGCCAGGAATGGCTTCCCCACCTGGCCAAACGTCCTGGAGGCTCTGGCCGGGCACAAGTCTGTGACTCCGGCAAGCTGGACCCTGCCCGGCCGATGGAACCGGCTCCACCCGTGGCGCCGCCATCAGCCGAGCCCTGATACTTGGGCAGAGCCGGCCAAGGCCGCACCTGGAAATCTCAGCTCAAGGCAGGACGAGCCAGATTTGCTGCCTCTCATGGCTGAGCCCGGTCTGGGGCGGGCACAGGAGGCTGCCGGGTGCCGCTTGCTATGGGGAAGCAGGAGATCCAGGCAGAAGTCTCCCATTTTTCCCTCCTAGCAGGGGATCCCCCGTCTCTCAGCCCATCCCAGGTGCTGCCGGCTGCAGGCAGGGGGGGCCTCCCACCATGAAAATCTCTCCTGCTGTCCCCTCTCGGCACGTTCATCCCTGCACCCCCAGAAGGAGCCCTGGCCCGGCCACGGGCATGGGGAAACTGAGGCACGGAGTGGCACAGGGCTTCACCCCAGGGAAGGGATCACGGCTCAAGTCTGTGCCTCCCACACCTCCATCTCCCCGCTCCCAGCCCCACTCCCTCCTCCATCGCCCCCCGGGATGCGGGAGGAAGCTGCCACCGGGCTCCCCTCGCCGCTGGACTTACTTGGAGAGAGCTGGGGGGCCATGGGGCTGGGGAGGCCGTGGCGGCCGTGCCGGGAGCCTGCGAAAACGCTTCCTCGATCGCTCCCAGTGTGTAGCCTTCAAACCTGTTTAACCAGCCCCAGGTGGGGCCGGGCCGAAGGGGCAGGCACAGCCGCCTCACCCCACGTGGGGCCGAGCACCATGGTGGCCCCTCCAGCCCTCTGTCTGCCAGCCCCACAGTCCACCCCGGGCCTGGGGACTGACCCCACGGGGGGGATGGCCACCACCGAGGGGTCATCACGGGGCGGCGTGTCCCCTCCCAGCGGGGCCCTGGCACTGTGACCAAAGCTTGGCCTTGAAATGTTATCAGTAACCAGCGCTGAAAGTCTTTGTGTGTATTCCCACCAGTAACGAGGATTCTCTCCTCTAATTTATCAGGTGTGAGCTAACGAGAAGAACTCCCGCTCCAGGCAGGCAAATATCATACCATCCTTGAGGAGGCACATCGAGCATAAGGACTTGAGGATGGTACTAACCAACACCTTTTGAGATTTTTAGCCAACTCAGCAGGAAAGTGAAAATTCTGCGTGTCCTAAGCCGAACTGCTCTCATTATAATACTAAAAATCACACCCATAGGCCAAGAAGACCCTTCTCCAGGTGAAGCCCCTTCCCTTGAGCAGGCATGGCAGCTATAACTCCATGGTGTAATCGTACATAAATTAATAACCAATGAGATATAGGTCAGAGGTACTGATATTAGAATGATGTTGTAAAATGAGTATAAAAATCGCGTGGAGAGCTCTGACGGGGGTGCGGGACAGAAGGATTCCCCTGTGCACCAGGTGCTGTAAATAAACTAATGTTGGTTTTCTAAATGACACCCCTGATTTGGGGAGGGACGGTTTTGGTAGCAGGGGGGCCGGAGAAGCCCCAGTGCCTGTCACGGCGGAGGCAGGACGGGCCTGATCTCTGGAAAAATGCCTGATTTTGGAAAGCACTACTGAAGAGAGGTATCTGGGGGTCCTGGTGGCCACTAAACTCTCCAGGAGCCAGCAATGGGCCCTGGTGGCCAAGAGGCCAATGGGATCCTGGGCTGTGGAGGGAAGAGTGTGGCCAGGAGGTGGAGGGAGGTCATTGTCCCCCTCTGCTCTGCACTGGGGAGGCCACAACTGGAATCCTGCATCCAGTTCTGGGCTCCCCAGTTCAAGAGAGACAGGGAACTGCTGGAGAGAGTCCAGCGAAGGGCAAAAGAGATGCTGGAGGGAGCTGGACTCTTCTCAGTGGTTCCCAGGGACAGGACGAGGGGCAACGGGCACAAGCTGGACCATGGGAAGTTCCACTCCAATGTGAGGAAGAACTTCTTTGGGGTGAGGGTGGCAGAGCCCTGGCAGAGGCTGCCCAGGGAGGGTGTGGAGTCCCCTTCTCTGGAGATCTTCAAGCCCCACCTGGCTGCTTTGGCCAGGGAGTGGGACCAGGGGATCTCTGGAGGTCCCTTCCAACTCTGACAATTCCCTGATTCCGTGATTTCTGTGAGGGCCATGGCCGTCCTGAGGATGACAGACCAAAGGGACACCGGGGAGCCCTCAGCCCAGCCGGCAGCACCCACACTCCATGGCAGCGTGAAGGGGTCCCCAAGGGTGCGGAGGGATTCCTGCTGCCATCCCAGCTCACGCCCCCCCCAGCAATGGAGGGTGGCCCCTGTGCGAGCCCTCAGGGGCGGCCCTGAGATGCCAAAGCCAGGGGGACGCTTTGGCGTGGGGCAGCCACGGGGAGGGCCCACAGTGGGACCCGGCAGCGGTCCTCAGGCCCAGGTCCGGGCAGGGCCGCCATTAGGCCTCGCTGCCTGAGGCCGCCGCCGCCATGCTTGCCCGCACCAAGTGCTGGCGCGGCGAGAGGGCGAACTCTCGCGAGGTGAGGCCGGCCCCGCCGCCGCCATGTTTGCCCGCCGCCGGCCGGTCTCGCGGGGAGTCTCGCGAGAGCGGCGCGGGGCAGGGGGCAGCCGCGCAGCCATCGCGGCCGA